GACCTTGCAATGAAGCAAGCCTTGGACCTTCCTAACCACGTTCCGACAGTAAGTCACCCACTACGGTTGATGTTAGGGTTTAGGGTTTAGGGTTTGGGGTTTAGGGTTTTAGGGTTTAGGGTTTAGGGTATATAAACCCTGAAGCTGTAAACTCTGAAAGCCCGAAGACCCCAAAATCTGGGTCTAGGGGTTTAGGGCTTCCTAAACTCTAAACTCCAAACCCTAAACTAAGCCTGTACTCAGATCACGATCTGATCTGCAGCCCTACGCCGAAACGGTGTAACCAACTCATAAGCAGTGGCCTCGGTTGTGGGACTTGGAGTTTTCTAAACCCTAAACCCTAAACCCTAAACCCCCAATACCACCACTAAGATTTAAGATCGATCGTTTCGATTCTATAGTCGTGCAAGGCGTTACAGGAATTCTTAACGAACTAAAAGGCTGTTTAAACAAGATGGCTGTTACGTCATGCCGGGAGCCTTAATATGATCACAGGTATATTGCGTGGCTAAGGCACGGAGTGGTGGGACACAGGCTCTTAAAGGCTGCCTGCGTTCTTTGGGAAACGTGTTTAGAGGATCTAGAGTGGATCAATTAGCAAACCCTATGACCCTGTCTGTAGGCCCTTTCAAGGAAACCTTATAAACAAGTTTTTGCAACCAGACGGAAGCCCTACTACAAGCAACAAGCGCAAAGCCAGAACCATCGCCCCAAACCCTATAAGCTGTGAAGCAAGATCGCAAACCCGCCTTTGACATGCCTTGGGTCAGGACAAAGTCTTGGAGGGCTTCCACGGTCATTCCACGGCGCATGACGCCCTGAACCTGGATTTTGCGGATTTCAACAACGGATGTTGACGGTGTAGGAGGTCCTACAACACAAGGCTGCCATTGGTGTTGCAAGAAGGGTTATTATAAGGGCTTGGGGTTAAGTCTTGACTGTGGGGTTCTGGCTGGTTTGGAATGGGTATCAGAAGGTTTTTGCAAGGTTGACAGAGGGTCTTATGAAACTTGCACAGGGCTTTGAGGCTTTCGGGCTGAGAACTCAAGACCTGCGACTGCCGCCCGAACCCCTAAACCCTCCTAAACCCTAAACCCGAAACCCTCCTAAATCCTAAACCCGAAACCCTCCTAAATCCTGAACCCGAAACCCTCCTAAACCCTAAACCCGAAACCCTCCTAAACCCTAAACCCGAAACCCTCCTAAACCCTAAACCCGAAACCCTCCTGAATCCTAAACCCTAAACCTCCAAGGCGATTTCGGGGCTTCTGGGAGTTCTCCTTTCGTTGTTGGGTTTAGAGTGTAGGGGGTTTAGGGTTTAGGGATCGGGGTTTAGAGTTAAGGGGTTTAGGGTTTAGGGTTCAGGGTTTAGGGGGTTTAGGGTTTAGGGTTTAGGGTTCAGGGATCAGGGTTAAGAGTTTAGGAATCAGGGTTTAGAGTTTAGGATTTAGGGTTATGTGGCCTCGGAAGAGCGGAAGAGGCTCTGGTGCTGAAGCTGGGAACCCATGTGGGAAGACACGTCATACGAAGGTGGGTGCGGTTTAGGGTTTAGGGTTTAGGGGTTTAGGGTTTAGGGTTTTGGGTTTTGGTTTGGGGGTTCGGGTTTTAGGGGGGGAGACTTCCGCCATGATGACACGAAGACTGAAAACTCACACTGAAGATAGAAATTAACCAGCAACTGTGAAATAACGTGGGTGGTATAGTTGTTGTACAGTCATACAAATTGGAATGCACTTATATTTTTATGGCTTGGGATAGTGAGTAGTCAATACCTAGAGCAACACCTGGAGCAACAGCATAACATAGATAGAGAAGCAAGTGGCGCAACCGGCCACCGTCTATATATCGTATTCTACCGTCTTACATTCTATATTATAGTAAAGTATAGTACGGTATAGTACAGCACAGTATAGTACAGTGCAGTATAGTATAGTATGGTATAGTTTAGTATAGCATAGTATAATAGCATAGCATAGCGTAGCGTAGCGTAGCATAGCATAGCATAGCATAGCATAGTCTAGTCTAGTATTCTTATATAGTCTCAAGAAATGACCAGTAGGACTGGTACCACGCATCTAACCCAAGCCGCGGGGGTGGTCTGAGGCCCCCGGCAGTGGGGAAGCGAGGGTCGTCCCAACCATCGACCTAGCGGAAAGGTACTGTTTTTTGGGATTTAGGTTTAGGGTTTAGGGTTTAGGGTTTAGCGTTTAGGGTACTGGTTTCAGGATTTAGGGTCTAGGATTTAGGGTATTGGTTTACGATTTAGGGTCTAGGGTTTAGGGTACTGGTTTAGGATTTAGGGTTTAGGGTTTAGGGTACTGGTTTAGGATTTAGGGTCTAGGGTTTAGGGAGTTCAAGACATAAGGTGATGATGATGGCGCTCATGAGAAAATACAATATACCAAGAACCCAGTCCAAATCAAGAACCTAAAAAGAAAGATCTAACAAACAACTTAGATGGCATGACAATTGCCTCTGGTATTTATCATGAGTGTCAGTCTTTAATGTCTGGTACATTGACCTTTGCAAAAACCGAGATACAGGTGAACATTTTCTAGATTGTAGTACCTTATGTCACCGGGCTGAAACATGCCGCTGTCCGACTCCCAGAGCCCAGTAACAGCCCTTAAGCCTAAACCGCAAAATTCCTGGTTTTTAACCCATATACTAGGAACCCCTAAACCCTAAACCCCTAAACCCTAAACCCTAAAACCCTAAACCCCTAAACCCTAAACCCTAAAACCCTAAACCCCTAAACCCTGAAACCTCAAACCCCCTCATAGCTCTGGGCCCCCTTTTTTGAAACCCTCAACCCTCGAAGTTTGAGGCTCGAGGTCGAACGCCGGAAGATTTTTCGGGCTGGCGAGGCTAAAGGTTTGGGAGTTTGGGTCCAGGGGTGGAGGGGTTGAGGGGTTGAGGGTTAAGGGTTGAGGGGTTTGGGGTTTAGGGGCTTGGGGGTTTAGGGTTTAGGGGTTTAGAGGTTTAGTGGTTTAGGGTTTAGGGGCTTGGGAGTTTAGGGGTTTAGGGTGAGGTCTGATAGGGTATACAGCTCGAAAGTCTATGTCACGGCCCAGGATTTCGGCTTAAGCCACTACCCCTAAACCCTAAGCCCTACACCCTAAACCCTAAACCCTACAACATCCCTAAACCTTGGAGTTAGGATTAGGGGGATGCTTGGGGACAGAGACCCTCTCAAGAAGGTCTCGTTTCAAGAGAGCCAGACGTAGGGTTCAGAAGAGTCCCGTTAGGGTTTAGGGTTTAGGGTTTAGGGTTCAGAAGAGTCCCCTGTACTTAGTTGCTGAGTTCATAAGCCCCAGAAAGTGTACACTTTCAGTTTTATAGAAGGTACTATCATCCACAAAAGTGTAAAGCGTATCCACTCAACCCTAAACCCTAAACCCTAAACCCTAAATCCTAAAGTCTAAACACTAAACCCTAAACCCTAAACCCTGAACTCTAAACCCTAAATCCCTAAACC